ATTCCCAATTTAAAAAATAAAGAAAAGTTGTAACATCGAGACATCATCTGATCCACATTGGAGAAAACTACTGTCCACCTTCTTGCAATTTTACAACAATTTGTCCAACATGTAAACAATATATTACATCAGTGAAATGATGCATAACAATAATAACAAGAGTGACAACAACTTAGCGACTTTCTTTGTTGTTTGAAAACTGTACTATTGTTAAATATACACGACTGTTTTATATAAATTTAATAAAGAGTTATGATTTAGTAAGTTATAAAGCGCGAGTGTTAAATTTAATATTTTTGGAAGCAATAATTTATCGCAGGGTTGCTTACATAACTGTTTACGAATCATTTGTTCTGTAGTTCAAGTGTTGTGAAATGACGTCACGTTACTCGAACCTTCGGAAATTTTCTCGTTGCTTTAAGTATGTTTTGTTTCATCCAGAGATATGAATAACACTAGATTGGCTAGTCACTACTCTTTATCATTAAAGGACATGTGTGCACGCGGCCAACACTGCTATGTGTTGAAGTTCGAACGGGCAAAGTGTGACAGTCACGACCCGAAAGAACGAAGGGAACACAGTGCTGTGCCATTAACTGTTACACATACCGTAACCAAGAGTCGAACGGGGAGGGTGTTACATCCTACAAATAACCAAAACCGTTTTTTTCTTTCTTTCTATAATATATTAACTTAAAGTGGGCGACAACGCTGTGGACATCGAACTGGCGTGGATTTTTACATTTAGTTTCAAAGTATATATTCGAGTCTTTTTCGGAATACATTTCACCTTTTGGTCTGAACTGCTGACAATATTAAGTACTCATATAAGTTGAAATAATCATCCACGACATTCCAATGTCGCCTGCTATCCAATCAGGCTACACAGAGACACGCCAAAACATAACACTGTATACAGATACAAGTTCGGTGTAGGTTCACTATTGATGCTATCACTGAATGACAAGGTCGAAGTTAATTAAATTTAGCAGTTCTCTTAATGGAGGCGAGGGGAATTTGGTTTACTTTATATGGTTTAACACAAGTCTTGTCTGATCAGTAACGTTATGCCTTATCCGGGAAACAATTCAAACATAGGCCTGATACTGTCAATAGACTCATTCTCAGAATTACACGAGAGATTAAATTTTTGCAGGCGGCCCCTTCCAGTCCAAAATCCTTGAGCTGTCAGTTAGTGTTACTTTGATAAATAATCGGTATGCAGTAGAAGTGGCCCAAAATATTTTATGTTGCTTGAACAAAAACACATTAATGTAACTGTAATATTTATAGATGAGTGCTTATAACAGAGAGAGCCAAGTTTTATTACATTATACACGTACATGCCTTTCTATTTTGTTACATTTAACTGTAATGTATGAATGAAATATGATTTAAGTGTATTAGTTGTATAAATGTTTTGCACATTGCCGATTGTATATTTGTATGTTCACATGAAAACAAAGTACTGCACATGAAACAGCAGAATTTGGCTAGCACATAATTATGAATTGTACATTTAATAGTGAAAATTGTTGATAATGCTGTAGATAAATATATTTCTTCAGTGTTCTTGAAATTAATTCACTGTAGTGTACTGTACTCAGTTGGAAAAACCACGCCTATATCTTTAGTATTTTTCTACTTAATCATGTTCGTACGATTTGTGAAATTAATTTGTGGCATACATTACTCACATGACCGTTTTCTAAAAACATATCTTAGGTATTGAAGAAAAATTGGATTTATATTTTAATCTTTTGATTTGCTATAAAAATGTTGGTAGACTAACATTATTGCACAATTATAAATTTATACAAGTTGAAAAAGGACCATGATGAGCTGTATTGAAGTGTCCATGATGGGAAAATGTACTGGTCATGAAAATTTTGGTATGTATTAGGTAGAGTAGGACGCATAGGAACTTACAGCAAACATTGGACATATATTATGGTATGTAGACTAATGTTTGTTTTGTTTATTTGAATTTCACGCAAAGCTACAAGAGGGCTATATGCGCTAGCAGTCCCTAATTTAGCAGTGTAAGACTAAAGGAAGGCAGCTAGTCATCACCACCCACTTGCCAACGCTCGAGCTACTCTTTTACCAACGAGTAGTGGGATTGACCGTCACATTATAACGCCCCCACGGCTGAAAGGGCAAGCATGTTTAGTGGCCATGCCGAGCCGCGAACTAATTTAAATGGTGTCAGTGAATTAGATATGAGTGGGCTTGGATTCTTCTGCAGTAGGTGTCTGTGATTTGTTGGCGATATATTCGAACAATAAACGGACAGCACATAATCCACTTTTTTTAAAATATATAAATTTTCAAAACAAGTTAAACGTATGTACAAAAATTCTTTACACGACAGGATATCAAAGTTGTATCTAAATCTTTAAATAGTTCTCCTTTTTTTTGTCAAAAGTTCACACAGCCTAATTCACTTACTTTAGAACCCAATCAAAAATAATTATTTGTTCTATTCTTTTTCTTGCTACACAATCTGTGATAAATTCACTTACGTCACCCGTGGATTACCAAAGTTGTATCTCGAACTTTAAATAATTGTTTCCTTTTCATCAAAGTTCACACAGGCTAAATCAATTACTCTAGAACACCCTTTACCAAGACAAATTATTTCCCCTTATTTCTGTTATCTATGAAACTCACTTTTAATATCGCCCTTTATGACTAAACTAACATTCACACAGTCTAACTTCATTTTTCACTAACTTAACTTTTTCTGACATAACATTAACTTCTTTTTTTTCGTCAAAAGTGGGGTCAGTTACTTTAAAACCCAGTTGATGACATAAATTATTTTCCTATCTCTTTTGTTAGAATACAGCTGTAAAACACATTATAGAAATCACCCGTTAAGGCTAATCACTCACACACCAGCTAATTTTACGTTTTCTAACTTTTTCCTTGACTGAACTTCCCTTGACTTGCTTGGTCACCGATATATAGGTTTCAGGAAAGATGATATCAACAACTGAACTACACACATAAGGTAGAACTTTTACCGAGTTATGTAATGAAATTTGTTATAATTGTCGCCTTTAAAATAATTAACTTTAACACTCTTGTTATGGAAACTAAATAATCGTTAATTACTAAATCAACTAAACAATATCACTTACACTAAATAGTCTTGTATATCCAACAAATGGTAATGAAAAGTGAGACGTTTAATTTGTTTTTAATTATTTAAGTATGTCAGGGTTTGAATATGTGGGGCTAAGATTATTCTACATTAGGTATTTGTAACTTGTTATAAGTAATTTCCAGCGTACCAGCGATACGTCAAATTTAATGATGAATGAATAGTATGTGATGAATAACACTGATAATTACTCAAAGGGGGAGCCCAGGCTCCCCCTGTAGCTACCTACGTCCCTGTGATAAAGTGCCCATATATTGCTTGAATCTTAAACCTTAAAAAAATAATAAAAAAACTGATGTAAAAATGAAAATATATCATTTTTTATTTTAAAAGCATAATCAAGGTATACATCTCAGCCAATGAACATCTAATAGATATGACTTTTATCTGAAGCAATCTTCATTTGCATGATGAATGACACACCTGAATAAATAATAACCTGTTGGATTAGAAAAAAGATATTTAACACATATTAAAAAAAAAACAGATGCAAAAGAAAACAGAATTTTTACTGGACATACAATGTTATGTGTGTTTACCATGTTTACTATAGTATCAAAGCCTTGCAGGTTACATGAACACTTTAAACAGCCAGTTACGTAAGCAACAGATATAAAAATCCAACAGACATTGAAAAATATCGTACAACCTTTATTCTACTAACTACCCTTTATATATTATACAAACATTATCATTATTCTAAAACATCAATAATAATAAGAGAAATAATGAAATATAAAATCGTTCACAAAAACCGTGTTCTTAAAAAAGAAATTGCAAACATCTAATTGGCCATTTTTTCAACATCACTAAGTCATTATGTCAATGGCGTAACTAGAGAACATTGGCTCCAATGCAATTACATATATATTACTACAAAGGTGCGGGCCCCAATGCCATTGCACTGGCTACATCGGCATAGTTACGCCACTGCTTTATGTATAAAACCCTTATAAGTGGTCTCTTTTAACTAATCAAAGCAATTCCTCCAGCCCCGGTAATCAACAGCCAAAATGTTAAAATTGATCATACACGATAATTAAAAAAATGTTTTTGAATTTTAAATAACATAACTAAAACCTGATAAAAAAAATCACCTA